ACGCTCAATGTCATGTAGACAAGATGCCGCGGTGGACATTGCGCATCACTCAACTAGATCATAACTATCTGACACGGTTTGAGCTGGGACGAAAGTTGCTCACTTGCTCACATCGCCAAGATGATGCAGAACAAACGACTGCGATGGTACGGGCATGTGAGTAGAAAGATGAGACACACAATCACAAGAATAGCAGTGTCTCTAGAAGGTGGCTGAAAAAGACTACGAGGAAGGCCAAAGATGAGGCGGATAGATAGATTTATAGGCGACCCGAAAGAGCTCAGAATACGAACATTAGGTTTCGAATCGGGAATAGTGGAGAAAGTTGACTAATGTAGCAGATTCTAAGAGAGAAAAATGAAAAAAGAAGATCAAAAAAATTGATCGCATTGGCAAAACAGCGCTAACGTCAGCGGCTAGTGCAACGCCTATCCGCACAGCTACGGACTACAAAGCTTTCGCGCATACATCCCATAATACTATAGACCACATGCGATATATATTATTGAAATCAGAAGGTTTCAGCTGCTCGAGATATATGTTTCTTTCTGAAGAAGGCGCTTGCCTTGGAGTATTCCTGGAAACTGGGCACTCAACATAGCTTAATTGAACTCGACACCATCTATACTTACTAGCGCAATGATGTATGCGTATAAATGTTTCGCATGCAGTTTTGTTTCTGAACCAATCTGGAATTAGCTGCATAAAATCTTGGCAACATTGTGACTAAGACTATTTAGTTTAAAAAGTATCGATGCTTACGATTGGTGGCGTACTTTCATGCGAACTTTTCTTCTGAGTTTGAATGCACAGACGAACAAATGAGGCTGCCCTGGAACTCATGGGTCATTATATCTGCCGCCGATGCCGTCGAAAATGATTTGCTTTAAATAATGCGGAGATTTGTTTATATTCCATTAGGCACACTTTGATGTATAAGTGTCTAAATACACATTTCGCTTCCTACCTAGATGTTGTACTGGTTTCACTTCAAGCTTTCCGATAAATTCTGAGACGTGGTCTGGTTTACGGTGGGCCAGAGTACAGCGGAAAAAGCTCGTGTGTATTACGTTTAGCAATGTGCGTTATGTGGCGTACATACAAACTTCCACATTTGGAAATCCAGATAGCAACTAGATCTGCTGTCATTTCTCCTTGAAGAACTGATTTCTATCGTTTTAGAGCGGAAAGTGCGACGAAGCAAACACAATCCAGCGCAGCTCTTTAGTGTTGTTTACGATTGAATTTGAAAATACGCCACTGAGAACAATTATTAGGTGCT